TTACAAAATGTTTTAAGATTACATTTGTTAACTTTAACCTCAGTTCTAACGATATATTTTTCTAACAAAGAGGGAAGTGGCATAATGAAAAAAAAATTTTTTGTGGCTTAGATTTAATGTCCGGCGGACATATAAATTTGTCCTGAACAGGTTTAGGATATATTTGAACATGTCCGTTTGACAAACTATCATGGGACATAAATGCGGACATAAATCTGAGATATGTCTGGGACATGTCCATGTCCATTCAAAATAAGGCGGACGTGTTCGCTGTATAACACTGCTTATAAGGATAAAAATAGGGATAAAAACATTATTAGATATACCGTTAACATCAGGAAGTTTTGAGGAGGTGTTTAATGTGTTGAAAAACGTTAGGTATTGATTAACACTAAAAAATGTTGTACAATGAACCTTTTGTTAATCAACGCATTTAAAATCACATAAAACAACACTATTTTAAGTATAAAGAAACATATAGTTAATAAACACAAGTTGAAAAACGTATGTAATAGTATCAATTGATGCATTGATTAATACAAATACAATAAAGCAACACATTGATTAGCACAAAAATACAATAATGCAACAATGTTATAAAATATTAATTTATATAATATTAGCAAAATTTACTTATTATATTATATAATACATATACAGCTAATTACTAATTCTAATTGCTATTAGAAAATCTGTCTATTAATAACTACTTATGACGTATCATCATCAATCGTATTGTCATAATTAATCCTAAACTTATCATCATCAATTTCTCCTTCACGAAGTTGCTTTACAGGAGATACTGCGTTTATAATTGTATCTTCATTTTAAATAAAAAATCTGAAGCAAAAATTTAATAGTTAACAAACAAAAATGAATAAATAAATAAAAGAAAACCATAATTACTTGTTGTTTGGTATCTGTTAATGCTTCAATCCAAGAATCTACAACTTCTGCATTAATTTTAGTTAATATATATTTTTCATCAAAGATTACTTTGAGGACTGATTGTGTCCAAACAGCATTAATATGTGTACGTTCTTTTTTAGAAAAAACAGATTGAATAATTATGTCCATATACATTTCAGATAAAGGATTATCTGGATCACTTGGCATGTACAAGTCTTCGTGAACTTTCTTAACATTATCTTGCTATTTCCATTCTTTCATTTAGCTTTTATTATAACTGTCTTCATATAGTTTTATCCTATTAATTCTGAAGGTAGACCACAAACTTTTTTGACACATCAAACATAATATCCTCTTTTAGTGTGACTTGCACTAAGAAGCTGTATATCAAATAATATGTTAATATATTAACTATTTTGTTAAATATGTTAACTGGTATTATTGAATACTAACAGTAGAATAAATTTTTTCATTACAGAGCTGATCAAACGTGACACCCTTCTTCTTTAATCTTTGAAGTTATTTGATACAATGATTATCATCATGAAGTATCGATGCCAATCTTTATTTGAGTTTATTGTCACTTAATTGTTTATGTTCATGAAACAACATAGTTGCCAATTTTTTGACTGAATCCTGTAACATAAAGTAATTATGAATAAAAAAGACAATGAAATAAAAAATAATAAGTAATATAAATATTTACTTGATAAAATTCTGTTTGCATTTTTTCATTACATTTATTTCCTTTACTTCCACCTTTTTTAACTAAAGAATTACGTTCTAATCGTAATATAATATTAGTAATTTAATTCTTTTGTTCATTGATCATCTCAATGATATCCTCTTGCTTTTTATCTATTTGATCAAGTTTTGCACTATTTTGTTGGCAAACTTGAAGTAACTTCATTAAACTTTGTTGATCATTATTTGGTATTGCTAATTATCATTAATGAAAATAAATATGTAACATTCTATCATTAATAAATGCAATAAATGTAAAATAAATATGTTATATATAAGCTCTAACCTTTACATATTGTAGAAGCATCGCGTATTGTAAAAGCTCTATATATTGTAGAAATATCACGTGTTGAGGTATCACATGCTGAAGAAATACTGCGTATTGAAGAAATACTACATGTTGAGAAAATACTGCATGTTGTAGAGGCTTCTTCGTGTACTATAGATTTTGCTTTAGTAGAGGTTGATTTTTTTGAAAGTTGCTTTACTAAAAGTGGAAGTTATTTTGCTGAAGGTTGCTTTACTAGAAGCTGATTTACTAAAAGAAGGTACTACATCTTCAGATAAAGGATTAGATGTATGAGAGGTTAAAGAAGGTATTACGACTATAGGTAGAGGTAGTAATATAAATAACACATCATTTGTAGACTGATGTAAGAATGTAAAAATTATGATAAATACATTAAGATAATAAAAAGAAAATAATAATAATAAAAAAACAAAGAAAATTCACCGAAGATTTATCAAATAAATCAATTTTTGAGACTTTTACTTTTTTAGACAATGATGCATGTATTTGAGCAGATTGTGTATTAGTGTCATCTTCAGGTGGTAAAACATTAGCTGTATCTGTTGAAATAGTTATTTTTTTTTTTAAAAAAAAAAAGATTAATGTAATTTTGTTTGATGATATTTGACAAAATAGAATAAAATTGATTATTCCATACCAGTCTCTAATATCTCCGAAGAATACTAGAAGAAAATTATAACATATATAAGCAAACTTAAATAAACGTAATTTGTAGATAACATAAAAACTAAAATAAATACTTTTTTGTTTTCTAAACGATCTGATCTTCTTTTCAGTTATTGTAAATTGAAGGTGACAGGTGTATTCTTGCCTTTATTACTCATGATCTATATAAAAACAATAAAATTAAAAAAAATTGTAAAATAAAAATATTAGATAAACTTTTAATTCAATCTGTTGAATTAAATACAAGACAATATCACAATCACGCCTATATGAAGATACGACAAAAGGCAATAGTAAATGAA